CATGGATTAGCCTCTAGCTAGTGGGTTGTTTATTGTGTAGGTTATAAATGTTTTAACGGAGCTATCAACTATTGAAAAGGAAGTTAAATGCTTCCTTATTGCAAGGTTTAAATTTGTGCCCTTTATTCAATGGTAAAATTTCACATGGAAATATTACAAGAAATATGTGAATTTAAATACATGAAGTGTTATTTTATTTATGTCAATTAATTTTAAATTAAATGCAAACTTTATGTTGAAATTCAATAACTAATTTTCACGTCCTATACTCCAAATTTAAGAATTTAAAACTTGTGAATACCAATATAGTTAAACCTAATTAATTTCCTTTACTTGTGGCAATTTAGCTTCAATTGCTTCTTATCTCAAGTCATTTGATGCCTTTGTATATTAATACAAAAGGGTATCATCTTCATCAATCATCACCTCTTATTTCATGTAAATTTTACATGAGATAGAGAATATGGAATTGGTAGCCCTCTGATGCGCAGTTCAGCCTTTGATAAATTAAAAAAGATTAAAATTTTAATTTAGTCCCTCAACTTTTATATTTTCTTAAATTTATTTTTAAACTTTAAAAAGTACTAAATTATCCCTAAACTAGTACCAATTTCATCTTTCTGTCAACAAAATTGATAGGTATAATGTTGCCAGAAAATCGCACTTTTTTTTAAGAAAAATACTAATGTGAAAAAAAAAAAACACATAAATTCATGGGGTGACTCTTTTTTTATTTTATGTGATATTTTTAATCTTAATAAATAAATAAGGCACCATTTATTATTAATTAGTTAAAGTCATTTTCAAAATTAACATTCTTCTTCCTTATTCTCCCGTTCTTCTTCACTTTCGCCCTCTCTCTCTCTTTCTCGTCTTGGGGCCATCATCCCTCGACATCTCCTCCCCTTCCATTTTTCCAGTTCATTCTCTTCTCCATTTCATCAATTTTAATAGTTTCTCTTTCGATGCCGATGATTTCCCCTTCACCCCAAATCTCTACATCCCAAACCTTCGGAAACCCTAACCACAGCCCCCAAACCAAACGTTTTCGTCTAGATCTTGCAATATCCACAAACTCATCTCA